TTTCCCTACCCAAAAGTATTCAGGCAAAATGCATCTTTAGTTTTGGAAACCTCTGATACTTTGACTTGATTCAAAGCGGCAATGCAATGGTGCTCAGTATGTAACAACTATTTATGACCCTTTATGACACTAAATTAAATTCTTTTCCTTTGTCAAGCAGAGAAGGTGCAGAGATGTGCTTTGTAAGAAACTAATCAGTGTGCTAACTTTGTTTTACAGTCTGATAACAGACTTCTACAACAAATAGCTTCTTTTGAACAAGACAAAGAAGAGACAAGCTTGAATAAATGTTCAAGCACTTGCACACTTGGGCTTAAAGAGCAGACTGGTTCTGTTAAGTTTCCTTCACCAGAAGGTGCATACACAGACCTTTGCTACAAACTACTGTAATAGTTTTAACAGGGTTATTTCACAACTAGCAAAGGCCAAAAGTTGTATCACCAGGGCTTGAGGAAAAAAATTTTAAAAGCTGCTTTTTAAAGCAACAGGTACATAGGAGACTGTAAAAAAAAAAAAAAAACGGGCAACAGAGTTAAAGTGACTTAATGCTTTCAACACAGTATATTCTTGGCTAAGTGACTTTGCTTGTGGCTATAATATAAATAGTTGCAGTATGTTACACCTTCTGAAAATCTCTCTAAGCCCATAGACAAAGCAGCATAAATTATGGAAATGAATTCTCTGGAAAAAAAAAATCCCAAAGACCTTTTCGTCACTGTGAAATCCTGGTTCATGGCTTACTCATCTGGAAGAAATGCAGCACTAGAAATTTATGTTAAGAACAAAGGGAATATGTAAAAGACCTTGCTCAATGAAATTGAGAGAGAAAAAACCCACGTTTTGTTCTCGTGGAAATGGATTTTCCTTCATGGACGCCACGCTCTGTCTTCAGGATGAAATCAGCCAGCTTAAAGAGGGCATGGGGCAACTGAAGAGAAGCTATTCCTCTAGCCCAGACTTCTCTGCCTGCCTTTTTTGTAAGTCTACTTTCTTCCTTGTGCAGAAGGTCAACTCCCTCAGCCCTCAATACCCATCCGCACTGGCCAATAGAGAAGCCAGTCCCCAGACAGCTTAGCTGGGTAGCAATGCTACACTATGCACTTCCATCGAGTCCTCATTTACAATAAACACAGGTCGTGTTTTGAAATGGGAAGTGTTTTTTTTAAGATGAAGTCACACCTACATTGCTTGTCTTTCCAAATTGTAACAACATACAACCAAATGTGCTCTCTGAACACCTAAATGATCTTCTTGGATCAGCTTCTCCTCCACTGAGGAAATTAATTAATAGCTGACATGAAAACACTCAAGTCCACTGATTTGAGTGGAAATTAGTTTTAAGATTCAACAAAAAGGTAAATAAAACTTGACTACAAAACTCAGATACTTTTATTCTACCTCTGTGACAGAATGGTGAAAGTTTAACTCTGCATGTGGAGACCTGAAGTGACAAATCCTTGATCAGAGGGACAATCCAAAAGATGCACTCTGACACCCAGAGAAAGGCTCCCACTTCATGAAACAGCAAAGCTGCTTGGCCAGTTGTTAACCGGACCTCAGGCTTCTCCCTTTCCTTATTTCAGCTCTTGGCAAAATCAACACCTACACCCCAGTAACAGTCACCCATCGTTCCACCAGAAGAACCTAAAGGGTTGTAAAAATATTAGCCAACTGAAAACTCCCAAAGTACAGTTAAAGCAGGGAAATATTACCCTCATTAAAAGAGGAGGACTCTGGGAAATGGGTAATCTAAATAACTTAAAACAGATGCATACAGGAAGCCTGTGGAAAAAGCCCAAAAGATGCCCTTGCCTGAAGATTTTATTCACAAACTCTTGTCGCTAAACCAAATTAGGGTTGGAGGTGCCACATGTGGAACTTCCCTCATCGCTGCATGGGGGGGGACTTCCCTCACCATTGCAAAATCATCAAAAAACCACATAAATCCCAATTCAAAATCTCAGCAGGTAAAATCCTTGTCGCTTCATTTTTAAGATCATTAAATATCTAATGGTACAGGTCAGATTATACCCTCAGAGACACATGGCAGATCACCAGTCAACAGGAATCCCAAATGTATATCCTGGGGCAGAATCTATCTACAGGCTGCATTTTCCATAGAGAATATTTAGTAGGAAGTTGTCTCAAAGATTTTAAAACAAAACAAAACAAAACAAACCTAGTAAGATATCATTGTATTTAAGTATTTAAAAAAAAAAAAATCAGGAGGGTTATCACATCCTATAGGAAACATAATATATTCCATCATACATCTAAGCAGAAGACAGACAAATGTGTCCTGCCTAGTATGTCCTCTCTTGCTAGCCACTAAAGGAATTTCCAACACCTGCCTTGAAATATTAGGCTTGGGGATGAGGGAAGGCACAGAAGCAGCTTGAGAAGCACTTTTACCAACTCACTTTTGACTGGCTGTTGTACTTGCTTTAAATGTTTTATAATAATATCTTGTGGGGTAAGGAGGGAACTGAAGGGGGGGGAAGGACTTAAAAAAAAAAACAACAACACACATATTATTATTAGGCATGTGTTAATATATCAGGAGGCATTATACAAGCCAGAGCTAGTGCTGAGGACTCAATTAATATCACCGCTGACTCCACTCACCTGTGAGCAGCCTGGGGCACTGCAGACAAAAGGCCTCTCCTGCTCCAAGTTCATCTTTGATTCCTCATAAATCTACATGTTAAAAGGGGGAAGGGGAAAGAAAGGGAGCCTATGAATATATACGTTCTAAACTTCACACATATATGCAACATACAATTGTCACGGTTTGTGCTTTTATTTCAAACTCCCAAAACAGACCAGAACAAAGTTTTCATCCTCAGAGTACTAAATTTGCTAATATTCAGCAGGCTCCCTACAGTCTACGTTCTTACTACTCCTTCCTGAGCACGTATTTACTTTGAAGGAAGAAAAAAACCCATTAAGCTTTCACAGCAGAAATCTGCCTCAGAAAAAAGTGTCTGTTCAGCGTAGTTATTAGATAAGACCGTGTCTGCTCAGAAATATCTCGAATTAAGGGGTTTTACCTTTCCTTCTTCAGTTCCTGCTCAACAGCATTAAAACCAGACGTCTAGGTTACTTCTGAGGAAGAACCCACTTTTTGAAGTTCTTCATCCATACTGTTCGATATTAATAACTTAAAATACATTACATACATGCTCTCTATACACACAAGATAGCTGTGCATCCCCATCCTTTAAAAGGTCCACTAGATCCTCAGGAGCTTGAGAAGGGAAGTTCTGCCTAAAGCTGCAGCTTCCCCGTAGCAGTTCCAGTCCTGTAACCTTGAACTAAAGCCTGGGGGAGAACTCCCAGGTCTCGAATAAAACCAAAGGAGGAAACATTTGCCCTCAGAATGCAGTAATGCAGCTGAATTTGGGTCAATATTACAGCAGTGTCCCTGACCAGCATCAACAAAAACCATTTTTTAGTAACATTCCAGGATATAAAATAAGTCACTTCTTTCGGAAATGTTTTGAGCATGTTGGTACAACTGGCATTACAAGCTAGAATATAGTAGCTGACTCACCTTAAAGCACAACAAATGACTTCTGCTTATATTATGCCTCAAATCCCTTACAATTCAGCCTCACCGCAGCCCCCGTTAGACAAATACCCGAGTCGTGTTTGTGTAATTTTTTCATAAAACAAAGAGAAATATCTTGGTGGAGAAGCAGGATTTGATTTTAAAACTACAAAAATCCGCAGAAGGACAAATGCTAAAATTACTCAGCCCTGTTGTCATTTCTTAAAACTACAATTCATTGCTTCCTATTATCAGGAATATCTTTACACTTGTTGTTAGAAAAGCTTTATTTTCAGAAGTGTTGCTACCATCCCCTGCAAACAATAAATACACCGTTAACCTGAACATCAGCCAGACCTGTACTTACAGCAATTATTCTCAGTGCCCTAAGTTCTCAAAAAAACCCCAAAACTTTTGGAAGATAACTTTTTCTTTTTAATTAAAATTCATTCTGCTAGACAGCATATTTTCCTACTTGTGACCTTAAAAATAAAAAAAAGGCAGCAGAGCACCCTTCACCTGACTCCACTGTCTCCCAGCAGCAGCATCCAGAAGTGAAGAATTTCTATTTTTATTTGCCCTTTAACCTCCACAAGGATGCTACCCCCTGAAGGTGATAATTAGCATCAACTCATTTTCTTGATGCGGACCAACTTCTGGCCTGAGAGAAGTGATTTATTGCACCAAATACAATCAGGTGTCAAGAAAGACGCTAACTCAGGACTAACCTATCTATCTACACACGACTAGCACTGAAATAACTAAAATTGTACCTAATTTACTCCTTTAAGATTATTCATATCCTGTTTTGATTTAACTTACAGCTATGTTAAACTGAAATAGGATACTCATAATCAGAAATGAAAGAGTATGTTCGCATAAAGGCTTATACTAAAATAACTAAAGGTGTTAAATTACTTCTAGTTTCAGTTATTTCGGTTCCAGACTGTGCATAGACAAGCTCTTAAGAGGTGAAGCAATAAAAATGCTCTGAATTATGCTATCCTGTCTGAAAGAAACAAGCAGCAGAGAGATAACTGACTAAACAAACAAACCCCTGCAAAAACAAAACCAAAACCTCCAGCTAAGTTGGATTTTTAAGTCCACCTCTATTTATGGGATGTGACCCTGGGATGTTGTCTTTCCTAAAGACCTTTTCAGAGAAAGGAGGGGGGGCGGGAAGCTATGTGTGCAAAATGAAAGGCTTTATCTGATATCTCAATTACTCCTGCAACTGAAGCACTGCCAAAGGTTTCTGTTACCCCTTACTCCCCTCCTCGGGGGAGAGCGACAACTGCATTTTCAATAGCAGAACAACGGATGAGACTCAGTTAAAGAAAACAAGAGAGTAACAATTCCGGTCCCAAGTGTCCAAGTGAATTTCAAAACATTACCAGGAATTATTTGGAGTTTGTTTTCTTATTGAGTATTGCAAGTCTAAAACTGCCCTCCTCACCCTGAGCTTGAGCTTCAGTCCCTAAATCCATCAGTACATGCTCTGATACAATTAAATGATTCTCAGGGTGACTAGATAAGCACGGAGTAAGCACCAAAATAACATACTCGACAAGCACCAGAATCCTGAGTGTGGGGACTGACTGCAGGAAAACATGAACTTAGGTTTTATTCTCAGTACTTCGAAAAGGTGTCAGATTCAGCATCTAGTCATTTACCACAAACGTACAAGCAACTGCTGGTTCCTATGAGAATCAGTCTTTGTGAACTATTTGCAGACACTAAACTTTAAAAAAAAAAAAAAAAAAGTAATAATCCAGAATATCATGTGTGCCCTCCAGGATCCTGTCTAGCATAACTTGACCCATATAACATGTTACCAGATAGCACAATGCCCTCAAGACAAATTGCACTATGCAGAATTCATATTTACGCGTGATGCTATCACCACAGTTGAGACTGTAGTACTACTGACTCTCTTACAATAGTAAATGAGTGAAAGAAGCTGCCTACCGCCTACAATCTTTGAGAGGGTGCCTGGTGCTTTACTGTCTTGCGGCAGTAATTCAAGCTTTGTGCTTGAATGTTGACCAGAAACAAGCAGCTGGAAATCTGGGCTGTGAGCGTGAACCTCCTTCTGAATTTCACAAGAGCTGCAGATCCATGAGCAACGCAGGATCTCACCCCAGGTTTGCAGCAGGATGGGGGCTCTCAGCAACAGAGATTTTTTGGTTGTGCATAGCACAGTTTGCACGGCACCCTTTTCAAGATGCGGGCATGCATCTCCCATCCTTCAGTCGTACGCAGCCTCTGGCACACAGTTCACTTCACACAGCTCATGTGTGTCACCGGGCCACACAACTCAAGTCTCCTTTTTCCACAGTGTATGCAGGTGGTTCAGCATACATGAAGGAAATCACGCAACCAATGGCAACATTTCAACTTCACCTAATAAAAATAAATCACAGCAACCTTTCCATCTAAATTAAGGTGCTTATTAACCTTTGGGATCTTAAAAATTCAAGTTACACTCATGCACCTTTCATAGTACTGCATATGACTGCCGCAATTAACGTGCATGAAGAATATCAGGCAAATCTATGATGACTGAAAAGTTAAAAAATTGCTCAGGCCTGAATTTTTTACTTCTGTTATCAACAGCTTAATTTATTGCAACTTTGTGACCTCTTCGAAGAAACAAACAAGGATTATAAATATAAGCGAGCACTAATATTGATATGTCAGCATTAGTTCTGATATTATTAACAATAGGCATGAGTGCATTATGCAGCAGAAAAGGGGGCTGAATTTTAATAGACATGTTAACAACATCTGTCAGCATTTATTGCCCTATTGTGACCACGTAAAGAGCCTTATTGGCAGAATACATAAGTGAGGAAATCTGCTACACTGTTGTAGCCTGCCATTCTCCTGAAACATCACTCTGCTTAGGAGAAGTTAAGGTATTCTAATAAGAAAAATAAACAAACAAAAATATAGAAGAAAGATAGAAAGACTTCTCCAAGCCATGTGACATAGAAGAGAAACAAGTAAGTTCTGCAGCAAGCCAAGATTTTCTTCTATTTCTGCATAAGATACTTCTAAACATTTTTTTATTATAATTAATAAAACTGAAGCCCACAGCGAGGAATGCAAGGGCATAACAAAGAAATAAAAAGCAAACAAAAGAAACAAAACCACCCTCAGAACACAGCAACAAACTACATTCCCTCTCAGCAGCATCCAGAGGGAAGTACCCCACGTCCTCAGGCTCCTCAAGGAGATTTTACAGAACCCCATAATCATCCTTTCCGAATCAGAAAAATAGTTCTAACAACTAACACCAAGAAAGCATGCTCCTTTCTGTCTCTCTCTCCCGCTTTTTAAACTCAGCAGTAATCTTATTGCCTTACTGGTAAAAACATCAAGCAGGCTTGTTTCCTGTTTCAATGTTATTCTTGAAGTGGGCTGCAGTAAGAATCTGATTTTCATTGGGCTATTATTATTTGCAGCTGCACGACCTTTTTAACCCTCTTTTAAAAGTGACATTTCAGCCTTCAACCTCAAGCTGTCTAAATGTTGCAAGGTTTTCAGTCCTCTGATTAACAGTGAAAATGAACCGATGGGGAGGTGTATACTACAATGTGTCTAATACAGGTCAGTGCACCCACCCTGCCATTTGCACAAGTGAGTAATTACACTCTTATAAGCAACCTGTTTGCTGAAATTAATCACCTGGGCACATGTTTGCAAGACAGGTTTCTTCAGCCTGGTGTGACCAAGGTCACTGAGGTTTCCAAATACAAGTACAAAACACACAGTCGCTAGCATTAGCAGCAGTATGCAGAGACATGAGCAATAAATGAAGCATCACCTATTTTTTAGGGTCACGGCCACAATGTATAAAAAGTGAGAGGAGACGCGGTTACGGTGCACTTGTGAATATTAAAGAAACCCACCGGTGTATGCAGCATTTTAAACTGCTAGTCGTGGCTATTCAGTACGGCACTATTTACAGATAATTACCGCTTTATTAAGAATGCTATTAAGACTTGTTGGTTTTGGAAGTGTAGCACATGCAGGGTTAATTCCTACGGTTGTTTACAATATGTCCTTGCATGAGCAAAGCCAATTTTAAGTGTCGTTGTGCTGGAACGGTGCATGGTGTTTTTCGTCGGCATGGGCT